TCAGTTAACAGTTCTTCTCCAGAAAGGGTGTTCGACAGATATTGTAGTACTAGCCGGAGACTTGAATGCACAGGTCGGGCGTCTAGGCACAGAAGAGAGTCGTCTAGGTGGCCGATGGGGACTTGTTGGTCGCCGGACAGATAACGGGGACCGTTCGCTGCAACTGTGCACAGACCACAACCTGTTTCTGGCCAGCACTAACTTCCGGCACAGTCATCGCCGGTGTGCCACCTGGCGTCCTCCCTCTGCATCCCAAGCCTGGACTCAGATTGATCACATCGCGATCAGCTACCGCTGGCGTGGTTGTGTACAAGACTGCCACTCCTTTTGGAGTACCTATCTGGAGTCTGATCATGCCCTGGTCTGCGCCAATCTCACCTTACTTTTCAGTGGACGAAGGATTGACTACCACCAACGGATTGATGTTAGTAAACTGGCTGCAACTTCTGTTGCAAGTAAGTATCGAGCGGAGCTAGCCTCTAGGCTAGCTACCACCCCACCGAAAAGTATAGATGTGCATTGGTTGCATCTTCACGACGCCATGAAAATGGCGAGTAAAGCCGCTTCCGGCTTCGCGAAACGTCCCGCTTAGAAGCACTGGGTCTCTTCTGGCTCCTTACAACTGATCGAAGCCCGTCGGTCTATTCCGGGTGACCGTGAGTTTGACCACAAACGAAGGCTGTTACGTAATGAAATCGGGCAAAGCTTGCGTAAGGACCGGGAAGCCTGGTGGTCGGAGCGTGCTAATGAGATGGAAGCAGCAGCTGCATCTGGTAACTGCCGGAAGCTCTTCCAACTCATCCGAGCCACTGGCAGCAAGAAGTCTGGTGTGAGTGAAACAATCTATGAGGATGACTTGATGCCAATCACTAACATCTCCCGACGTCTTGGACGATGGGCGGAATTTTTCGAAGGGCAGTTCAACTGGCCTGCTGCTCCGGCAACATCAACCAGCTTGTCCTGCCCCCCATGGCCGGTGACGACTGATCCACCAAACGAGGCGGAAGTCCGCAAGGAACTCCAACTCTTGAAACGGGCGGGACTAAAGAACATGGACGAGCCAATCAGAAGCTTTCGCGGGTTTTCAAGGTCACGGCGGTAATTTCGCAACGTGATGCTTACGTACGATCGCTTTACAGCGGATTTTCGAGAGGACGTGATAATTCAGCGACTGCAGGAAAAGGGATTATTGAGAAGCTCCTGTACTTGTGACTGCGGTTGTGAAATGAACATTGTACAATGTGCAGACTATCGTGACGATATTATCTTTCGATGTTCCTCATGTTGGAAGAAGAAATCAGCTAGAACAGGGACATTTTTCGCTCGCTCAAAGTTAAGGTTAAGACAAATTATGCTCCTTATTGCGAATTGGGTAATAAAAGAACCGGTAACACTAGCTGCCGCCTTTGCCGATGTAAGCGAAGTTTCGGCAGTTCAATGGTACGAGTTTTGCAGAGATATATGCGCAACAAAACTGACCAGCATACACCAATTGTATGGAGGAGTGGGAAATATTGTTGAAATAGACGAAACGGTGGTAAGGAAACGCAAATACAACCGTGGCCGTTGTATTAAAGAAGATTGGGTAAGTACCTCTTCTATAAATATACCTCACAGGTCTTTGGAATATATGATAGATCATTACGGAAAGGACATTTTCAAAGAGTCAGGAACCGGAAGGCACCAACAATCATACCGATCATACAGCAATATGTGCTACCGGGTACTACTATTTATACAGATGATTGGGGAGCTTACAGATGTCTAGGTAGACTGGGATATGAGCACGAAGTCGTTATACATAAGCGACATTTCGTTGACCCTACTACTGGGGTGCATACCAACAACATAGAAGCTATGTGGTCGAGACTAAAGGAGTTTTTGAGACCTTACCATGGCTCCAGAGGCACACTACTATGGAGCCATATGGATGAATTTATGTACCGCATGCAATACGATTTTAAAACTTCCGAACCCATATCCAACCTTGATAAGTTTTTAACTCATGTAAAAGAAGTGTATCCACTTTAATTTTTGAGTTTTGTATAATATATTTTTATTGTATGCTAACTGTCTTCTGATTGGCCAATATTTCTCAAGGTCATTTAAGATTCGTTCAAAGGTCGTCCATGTTCTTTAGTCTCGCCCTTGAAACGTTATAAATCACCTGGCCCAGATGACTTACCTCCGGCTCTTTTTAAAGATGGTGGTGACTTTCTGGCTAAGGAACTGATTGCGTTGTTTGCAAAGGTTTGGGAGCAAGAAAGTGTTCCAACATCTTGGAATGAGTCAATAGTCGTCCCTATCTTTAAAAAGGGTTCACGTTGTTCCTGCAATAACTACCGGGGGATAAGTCTACTTTCGATCGCCCTGGACGGTGAGCAGATCGAAGTAGTTGAGAAGTTCGTGTATCTAGGTAGCTATATAAGTGCTGGTGGTGGCGTGAGTGATGAGATTGATGCACGTATAAGGAAAGTCGGAGCGGCTTATGCCAATCTGGGTCATCTTTGGCGCCTTCGTGATGTTAGTCTGGCTGTAAAAGGTCGGATCTACAACGCGTCGGTGAGAGCAGTTTTGCTCTATGCTTGTGAAACCTGGCCTCTCCGAGTTGAGGATGTTAGACGTCTCTCTGTGTTCGATCATCGTTGTCTCCGAAGGATTGCTGACATCCAGTGGCAACACCATGTTAGTAATGCAGAGGTTCGGCATCGTGTGTTCGGGCGTCGAGACGATAATTCAATTGGTGTCACCATCTTGAAACACCGACTTCGGTGGCTTGGACATGTTTTACGAATGTCGTCCCAGAGACTTCCACGTCGTGCATTATTTGCCGACCCTGGGACTGGTTGGAAAAAGCGGAGAGGAGGTCAGTGTATGACATGGTGTCGTGGCATGAAAGAGAACTGCAAAGGGCTAGCTTCCGTTGGTCCTTCACGACTCCCTGGTTGGGGTCCGAGAGATAGTGCAACACAGTGGCTAGAGACGTTATCAGATATGGCTCAGAATAGAAGCCAGTGGCGATCCTGCTGCAACCTTCTTTTACTTTCTACATAAAGAATGGTTCTTACTTTCCTAACTGAAAGAGTCTTCTGGTTGTACATTTCAGCCCGCCTTATCTTTTCATCCCTTCTCTTCCTACTTTCATTATTTTGTGTGGCGCATATGTACCTGGTGCCCTTTTGTACCAATATATATGTGTTTAAATAAATAAATAATAAATAAATATGGGACTGCATCTCCATACGTTGTTCCACTGCCTTGTGGATCAGATCTTTCGGTCAAAGGCTCCGGGTGTGGCTCCCTAAGAAGACCACCTGCTTCGGTTTGTGCACCCGGCAGTATCCCAGCCCTTACACAAATCTTATGATTTATGTGGCGCATATGTGTTTGATACCTCCTTGTAACGATGTTTATGTGCTTGAATAAATAAATAACAGTCAGTTAGTCAGCTACAAAGTAAGTTGGCAAACGCCAAACGCGTTTATGAATCCGTGCTGAGATTTCGTCAGACACCAACCTAGAGCTGATCAGACTCACAAAATTAGTGAAGTTGTCGACGCGTTAGACTACTTCACTCTTTATTCTTACTTCAGATGTTGACACAGTCCAGTCCTGGAGTAACAATTTGCATTTAGAGAGTGAAAAACGCATGCCAAACATCTTAACATTGTTGCTCAGTGTTACCAAAAGACTCTGAATTTTATCAGCGTCTTCACCATACAGGACTATGTCGATACCTTTTTGAAGTAACAAGATTAAAATACAGAAACAATTTCCTCAATACTTATCGAAATTAAAACCTCACAACATTCAACATTTATTACAATACATTGAAATGTTTAGCTAACTGGTGTATTGAATGATCAAATAAGTCGAGCGAGTTCTATAACTACTAAATAATAGAGCAGGTATTCAGAGTATAAATCAGCATTCAGCATAAATCTAAGGTTAACAGACACACTCTTCAATACTCAAATCAAACTAAAAATAAATTTGACGGTGACAACCAACGTCAGAGTTCAGGGATATGATTTTCCTTTAATTTTTGATTCATCAGTTTCACTGTATGTCAACTTTCCTATTGAGACTTAAACTTAGAGAATAATGACATACACAACGCTTGTATGAATTGATGATATTTTAAACTTATATTAAATAAGCAAGTTGAATATAACTGTACAATATTACTAGTATAATATAAAATGATCCTGACATAAAACTAAAATCAAAACAATAATTTAACTCTTAAAATCATTTACATAGCTGATTCGCAATAAACATATAGAAATTGTTCGGCTGAATCTAGTTTAAAAATAAAAACACAACACCCTTAACCTAACGTCACCATGATACAATTTTTGAAAATAATTATTAAGAACAAGTCTACATAGTTGACTAAGTTGTAGAGTCTAAATATTAAATATCTGTGTATTGTTTGCCCTTCTCTATCCCTTCATCAGCTCCTATCCACATATGTCACTATGGTTTATTCTCGTCATTGTATTCATTTTATTTTTGATTCTTTAAAATGTCATGCGTCTTTTGATTTTTTTGATATCTTTAAACAGTAATGAAGAATGTTCGTCACTTTTTATGTAAGTTTTTCGGAGGTAACCGATATGGAGCAAAGAATATAGGCCGCATACTAGTTGGTATTAGTCCGTAAGGCGCATCTACAATTTTGACAGAATAAATACACCACGTTATAGAATTTGAATCTGTATTAGTAAGCATTTCACTGTAAAAGGTGTTTATTACGATTGGATTATTTTTCCATCCAGTGGTAGATAATTTAACATTAGTTTTTGTATTCAACAAAAATGTGTCAAATAAGAACAATGAGATCACATTGTTCGAAATGTATTGCACTAATATACTATCACATAGTTCTGATAATCTTCGTCTTCTTATTGCATTATCGAAATTTATCAAAGGGACTAATTGCTTTAAATGCATATTCGCAAAAAAATTATAAATACATATATCGAAGCATAACTTACATTTCATCCTGGAATAATTAACACTACTATTAAGTGATATATCTGAAGAATTTGATCCGAACCCGCTTGTACTTCCACTGCAGCAACTTAGACTACCTCCACCATAGGCACAACAACTACTACAGCAGCAGAAATAGCAACAACTAGAACAACTTGAAGCCGACGTAGCGGTTTCGGAACAACATGTTTGCTGGTTAATATCATAATTATTGTTAGGATCATTTTCACTGGAATCTGATGATATAGTCATTTGTATGTTTTCTGAATGAAGCACTAGACTACTACTACTACTATGATGATGATGACTATCACACAATGGTAATGAAGTAGATAGGACACCGGCAGTATTTCGAGTACAAGCGGCAGCAGCACCTATGAAACGATGAGACAAACACACGCGAGTAAACAAATAGAATAAACAATATTGATGTAATGAATAAAAAATAATGTATCTTTAACATCCCGATGTACATAAAAGTAAGATTTTCTGATGTTTCGTGATTCAGTGTAGTCCACTTCTTCAGAGAATAAATAAACGAATGAAATTAACTCAAGTTTGAATACTACAACGGAACAATGCAAAATATATCTAGTGCAAACAGTAAACAACGGGTCTGACCGAGTCAATGTCATGTCAATCCAGTCAAGGTGATTTATGTAAGATATATTTGTGTGTTTTAATGGATGAAAGTGTAACATTTAAAATGTGAAAGGATAGAGTTGAATTTGTACGTATGATATTAGTGCGTGATACGAGTATAACCAGACATAATATCTCGGATAGATAGTCTAAGTCGGATGGATAATAAGGCCTTTCTTATATAGACGGCATTAGGATTTAGAAATATATGGAAAGCTACAACTACACGCCTTTCTTTGTAGATGCAATTCTGTGTTGACATAAAGTGGATCTTTTTATGCCTTTATAAAAAAGGCCGTTGCCAATTCGTTATGATTTTATGTCCGGCTTTTATCACGTGAATCACCCACCAATCGAAATACGACTTGTCTAATATTAACACTGCCGAATCAATGACGTTCAACTGGTATGAGCAGTCTAGCACCCTCATTGGTCCCTTGTCCGCCTAGCCCTTCCAATTGAGTTCAGAACACCAATTACAGCTTCAGCTATGCGAATCATTTATTTCAAGCATAACCCGTTTATATACCAGACAGACTGTATCATACCATAAAAGAGAAAATAATATTTTTACAAGATTGAGCCAATTGTGGCTGTGAACGTGGAAGACAATAATCAATAAACTGAGTATAACTTAGGAACAGTAAATCATATAATAATAATCAATAGGTCAAAATGAAGCTTATAATAAGATGAATATACACAATCTAATTACTCAATAATTAAAGATTAAGAATATATATAGAATAATAGTCCGTTAATATCCCCCAGAAGTTACCCGTACAACCACAATATACAGTTATCATTAACACATGTTGATTCTGCAAAGAAAATAACAACCTATATTACCCAATAGCCATCCTTGAAATAAAAGTTACGTATCAGTTGAGTATTCAATGAACTAAAAGATGTGAAAAGTACAAAATTTTCGTTTGTCAAACAAATAATCTCCTATATTGCAATTAAAATATATAATTTAAATTTATTTTAAAGAGATCTAAACACGGCTAATAAATTGTTCCATATATACGTGTGCAATAAAGAGTATACCGATATGTTACATTTTTTCGTGAATAAAAACAAATGAGTTGTAACAAGTTGATTTTAAAAAAAAATGAAGTGAAATAGTGATTGATCATATTGTTTTTTCCGAATAATATAGTTACGTACCCATCAACCGACAGACATTTATTGAATCACAATTTTCTCGTCTTTCTTTATCGATGATTTTGACTAAAAGTAAGTATTCATTAATAATAATATAACTTAATTACATAGCAGTTATGACTTATCTCTAAGCTAAACTAATCCACTTCAGTTCAAACATACAAAGCTTGCGAACGAACGATTATATTGTCAACCTTTACTAAATTATCAGTAATACATTTCAGTATAGTGCAAACGAGCTTATAGTGAGCCAACTATCAACAATGAAAGGCCTGGTGCACATCTACAACACCTCGAATTGCCGTACTCTAGGGTCAAAAATCGAAGAAATCAAAACAACATTGATACTAATAGAAAAAAGCTAAATATTGAGAATATGATTACCAACTGATGAACAGAATCGATGAATAAAATGTATGAAACAATGCTAAGAATTAAGATTTTAGAGAGGATGAAGCATGATCAAATTTGCATTGTTATCATAGTGAACGAAGAGTTGGTGGAGATAATCCATTGGCATGAAAAATCGCATTGGCTTAATAGAATATGAAAATCATACACTAAATATATCATTTGCATATTGTCTTCGAATTGTTTTTTTGGAAACTTCATTGTTCCTTCATTCCTGTTGTTATTTTGGTTGCTTTTACTTTTCTCCTATCTTCTCTTTATATTCCTTTACTATCACTAAGAATTCTACATCACACGCCTGATACATACTACTTTTATCTGTCTGTGTAAGTAGCATATAACATACTATGACCTACTTGAACCATTTCAATTAAGATTTGAAACAACAGATTCAGACCAGCTTTTTGACTTCAGCTGAGAGGATAACTCCTTCCAACGCAGCTTACTTCAACAATCTATTACCTCGTAGATTGATATCACATCCAAATCTAAACGAACTTGATCTCCATCAAACTTACTTCTATATTTATTATTTAGTAGTTTAACGCGTCAAAAAAACCCAGCATATAACACTTAACTAACTGAATGGTGAAGATATCTTGTGAATGGTCAGGTTTATACCACAAAATTCCATACTAACCAATCAGGAAAGTAGCCGGTTATATATATATATATATATATATATATATATATATATATATATATTCGAAACCTTAGATAATTTGAATAAAAATGGATTTGTGATTTAAAAAGCAAAGAACCAAGTTATACCATCTATTAGATGATATTTCCGAAAATGAATGGACACTTTTCTATCTGAATGTTAAAAAGTAAATAAATTAGAGATTCTATAGTTGTCAGTGAAACATATAAGTTGGTCCAGAGATGAGAAACAGTTAAAACCGATCGAAACATTTCAGACTATTAACCAATGAAATAAAAACAACTATGCTCCGGATCTTCACTTGCAATCATACACTGTTTAACTAATGCTATCAAGGTTTATTTTGTTTACAGTGTAAATCATTCAGCCACTTAGTTATTGTGACTTCAAATTACTTCGAAAAGACGTATGAAGATTGTAAATTTTGCAAATTACTGGTCCTTTATATACCGTAGGACTAGCCTGGTCTTCTGATAGTCGTAAAGTACAGTCTACTGACTTAAACTGTATCAATTGAAATCTTACTTACAAAATCATACTATTCTACATTCAGTTAGAAGGACTGCTAATGTATAATGAATTTTGATTTAAACCGTGTTAGTGATAAAGCGTTGTCCCAACATATGAAACTCAAAACAACTGTCAACCAATACGAACGTCAAGATAGTTTTCTACTGTATCACGAGGCAAGTGCTAACTTGGAATCCTGAAGGGAAAAGGAAAAGAGGAATACAAAGGAACACATTACTCCAGTAATTGGAAGCAGACATTGAGAGGATGAAATAACAACTGGAAGGCATTGTCCAGGACAGAGTTCGATGGAGAGTGCTGGTGGGCGACCTATGATCCTCCACGAGCGGTAACAGGATTAATCAAGTAAGTTGTTCGAACTGCTCGATTCAATTGTGAATTTATTGTTTTTCTAGATACCATTCTTAAATGTTTTTAATTTTATATGGGAACAATTTAAAATTTACTCAAGTTATAAGTTTTGTTAAGCATTTTATAACACTGAGGTACAAACTCTGTAAAATTGGAAGGTTACAAAGATTTGAAGATAGATACAAGCTTATATTAAATAGTTCAAACATTTTAATAGATTTTATTAGCACTTTTCACAGAATTATATTATGGATTACAAAACGGCCATTGTTTTCTTTACAAGAGGGAAGGGATATTTACGACCTAAATATTAACGGCAAAGCAATCAACCGCCGGGCTCATTCAATATTGTTTAGTAATAAAAGAGAAAATTAAATCAACCTTATAACAAGTATGTCCGGAATCGGTCAAGATTTCTTCTTATTAAAAATGGAGAGAAGTTGAGTTTGACCCAAGTCAATATTATAATTTATTGGAATTGCCACAAAAAAGTTATTATTGTAAGCCTTGGGATCCTAGCATTGTCACATTTGCAGCGTCGTGATGCTAAAAGATTAACACATACTCTAAATGTTGATTATGCCTTGTAGAATATTGTTTGCTGAGATGTTTATTTGCTTCATTGTCTTTCGTTGAGACAACAAAATCTATTAGGAAAGGGCTTGTCATCTTTCATCTGATTAGAGCGTTTGTCATCTTTAAAGTTTCATTATCAATAATCATCGATCCAACTAGTCAAGTTAAACTCAGCGGCGTATTAGAAGAATCTCTTTCGCCTTTACTTTGAATCTTAAATTACAAAAATTACAACGTAATTCAGAAAACGATCAGAAATGTAAACTTAGTACCAATGCTATTAATGGCGGCAAGTGATTTTCAGAGCTCTTGTATTTAACAAAAATAAACTAAACTAATTTGACTATAAGTGGAAAAATATTTAACTAGTAAGATGTCCCACTTTAATTTCGTCTTACCAAACAAAAAATAGCATATTTTGAAACCAGTTTCAATTAACATGACTGAACAAATAATGTAACCATTAGTTACACAAAAAAACGAAATAAGAGAGGTTTCAAGCAGAAAATTACGCGACTGATATCCACCGCTATTGGTGGTAAACTGTCTTACTTGTGACATGTGCTTTTGTTTTGCCAGCCTAACATTATAGAAATGTTACTAATAACTTCGTATAACATTACACTATAGTAAAGGATGGTGCAGTTTAATCACTCAGTAAGCCACAAACAAAATAGGATGAACTTAAAAGCTTCTAGGAGTGTATGAAGGGGTCAACACTCCCCATATGACAATATTGTAGAAAGGATAATCCAGTTTGGGAATCAAGGAAAAAAAACTGGATTCGTACTGATAGCCAAACCAAGTTGCAAGTGCAACTGCAGAGTCTAAGAAACCATTGCTTGAAAATGGTTATATACGAACTTGTTGAGAGTTATTCTTATTGTAGCTGTATTGCACGTTTTAAACCTCAAAACCAGCAGATCATAGATATAAGTGTGTACGTACTACCTTCAAATTCCACTGTTTCTAATCCCTCTCTTAATTTATAAAAAGACAGCACTGGTAGTGATGTATCCATGAGAAACACTTTACTGGCACCACATACTAGTATATTCAGTAATAAAATGTGGCCATTGAAATACTATTTTCGATTTAACCACTCTGATTTATCAGTCTGGCAGTATAGGACTTCGAGAAATACGTTTTCCAGCCGATGAAGCTTGTTTGAGTAAACATGTTGGAAAACTATGACAATCACTTCAACATGACAGTTACATGAGTGTTATTTTCAGATCATACGAATCTAAAGGGACGACATAGTTCAAACTCGGAAATATATCAATCCAATTCCATAAAACGTTTTTTTTTCCGAATGCGGCATATCAATTTCTAAGTGAATCCCAAATAAGAGTTGCCAAAATTTAGTATTATTCCTTACTTGTTTGAGTAGGATATGAATAATAAGCTGGTAAGATAATGATATGTGAACAGAGCAACAAGCTGCAATTTCGATAAGGCCATTAAAGTTTACTAGGATGAAAACAGTATAAAGCTTACAACTCCTACATAAAACGATACGTTAAACAAAGATCCTCTTAACAGCTATCACAAAATACCATAATTATATACACAAACATGAACACTACACATTTCATGGATCAAAGTTGATCAGTTCAGTTAAATAGATAGAAAAACACTGACAATTATGATTTCGCTAATCATTCTTCTAAACAATAGCAGCGAAATCCGATCTAAGACTTTCACCTGGCACCACCGGGTTGACGGGGAGACCTCATGAGCTAACTTATGTGAACGAGGAGATCGGACTAATCCATCATTTTTTGTAACCATGTAACTCGACTAGAACTTCGAGGCACTTTGATCGTAGAAGGCTGACGTTTGAGCATATTTATATATAGGAATTGCATGAGTCTCGGCTAATCTAGTTTGTATATGTAGTTTATTTGCAAGGGTTACGTGCTGGGATCGACCGGAATGAGTTGGAGTAGACAGTCTGCGCTAAGACAAAATAGGGCTACCCTATTTAAAAATAGGTCTATCCAAAAAAATAGTTGTATCAAATATGAAAGAAGGGAGTGGTGACTATCAGCACTTATACTAAATCCACGCTAATTAGTAGTAATATGCTAAAACTGTTCAGTCCTTTGTGTTGATTGAAATCAATCGATCAAACTGAGGCACAACTATTGGTGTACGTAACTAAAAATTCAATTCACTATTCTTTGAAGTTAAATGATTGCGAACAATTAAGCCTAGGTTCCATGATAGTCGGCATTAACAACGAGGAGAGCATGTAATCCCGAGGGAACTTACATTGCCCGTCGGATTCAAATTTCCTTCGACGCATTAGCTATTTCGAGCATGACATTGGTCATTATTCTGGCATTAATCAGTGTAAATATTTAACTTTTATTACAGGATGCGTGTTTGAATCCCATCAAAATTGAAGATAAGCTTTTACGACAAGTGCCAATACAGACACGAAATGTAAATATAGGATTTCAACTTATTTGACAATTGGTTTAATATTTATTGATCAGAATTTTCAAACAGTAGTTTAGTTTGATAGCCACTTCTTATCGCTTCTTCAAATGTCAGTTCATAGTGAAAAATCTTTTAAACAGTAGAAATGATTTTAACCCATTGAAACAATATAAAATCTTCACTTTTTCTGCAAGTAATGTGGCTTTAAAAGAAAACGTGGTGAGAATCGATTGCTGACAACTAAAATACTAGTAATATAATAACAAAAATCTGTTTAAGCATACGTAAAGAAGTTGTTTTAATTCTAGACTAGTTTTCAAATTTGTTCATTTGAAATATTTACTTCGTAATTGTATCCACAATGAAGCAGCAGGATCATTTACATTACTACTTAGTTGTTAACTCAGATTTTTATCTTCTTATTGTTCTTAAAAATGATTAACTTCAATAAAGTAATGTGACTTTAAAATTGACGATTTCCAGCCCAACCATAGAAAGAATTAAGTATTTTAAGAATCACTCATAAAAAAATGTAAAATATGGCATGGGATTACATCAACTGAGATCGCCATACTTTAAGCTCGGCACATTAGGACACGAGTTACAATATATAAAAGTAAATGGAACATATATCATTCGAAAAAAAGAATGAAACTGACGATAAAAATGACCTTTAGCGGTATAATTTTAAATTGTTACTGAAGACTACCTCCCACTATAGATTTCAATCATATAACAATCATATAACATTTGCATCAAGAAAACGTCTTAACTACTTCATGCAGTGAAAATTCACTACGTACAACAAAAGAGAAAAAAACTTACTAGCGGCTTCTAATTGCCTGGCAGCAGCTGCACGTGTTCGTGTAGCACCTTGTGAATTAGACGATTTCGATAAATGTTCTTTTTGATCCAAAATTGTACAAGAACAACATATGTGTTCTGAAGTGTCATTTTTATTATGATGATTTAATGATCGATTATAACAGTGGGAATTACTATTACGATTATTATTGCTATTTTTATGCGAAGAACACCTAAATCCATTTGATAATGCCTGAGAGTGTTGTGCACTTGATCGTGTCGTACCTCCCACATAAGATTGCTGGGAAAACATATTCGACTGAACACGAATACAACTAGATGATGTATGCAAATAATGCTCCGGTTTTGCATTAGTTTGTGTGTAATGAAGATTGCCACGTGAGCAGGAACCGTTATTCGAACAATGATGACCGTTCCCACAAGACGAACGTGTAGTAGGAGTATGTGTGGTGGTAGTAAGTGAAGATTTTAGAGACTTTTGCTCTTTACCTACTGGTGAAGCAATAGCAGCAGCAGCTTGCTGTTTGGCTTCCCGACGACGAGCGCGTTTAGTAATTTCTTTCATATGTTTCGGTCCAGGACCTTTCTTACTGTCAAGAACCTGAAAAAGTAATGAAATTACGTCATAGTACTTACCAATTACAACAGAAAGAACTGTTAGAGAATTTTTCAGTGGTGTAGAGGTTAAGCGTTCGTGCGCGAGACCAAAGGTCCTGGGTTCGAAACATGCAAGTGGGATCGTAGGTGCATACAGCTGAAAAATTCCATACTATGACGAAACGGCTGCCCAGTGCTTCCAGTTTTTCTACGGTGGTCCAACTTTAATCAACTTATGAATTCAACTATTACATGACTTATACTTAGGAAGATCACTTAGTTAACAGCTCAGAATATATAATTAGTGGACAAATCATGAATGTTAAAACTTCACAGAAATGGAAAAGCGGAAAGCACCTAGAAAAGTCTCTGCTTTCTGTAAAAAAATGTTACAAAGTGGATTTTGAAGAAATCTTTACAAATCAATACATTTCTTTGAAGTACATAATAATAATCTTTATTAACCATTGAAATCAAGAATTTGTCGCTTCAAAAGTAATGAAAAACAAATAGATTCCATAGAATATTGTTGTGAAGGCTGATATCTGAAAATTGATATTGATACACGATGAGCTACACGATAAACCCCCAACTGACTATTTGACTGAGAAATTATGTTGAGGTTACCGAATAAAATGCACAAATACTCATTCATATATATACCACTTTAATCCTTAGGAGACTGATCTATTTCTTAGCCGATGAAATGCACTTCTCGTTTCTGTCAATTCTGATTGATATCGATTGAACTTCTCATTAGGCTAATCCTGATTGGTTCTCTATATCAAAAATCTTGAACTAGACATTTTTCTCTGAAATTTCATTCAATTGAAAAAGATCAGTATATGTTTGAGTTTTTTGTCGGAACAAGAATGATTTTCTGAAGGGTCTGGATGGACTCAGTGCATATCACAAGACAGGAGTGTACTGAGTACGATCTAAAGTATGATCGTGGATCCGGACTATTAATCAAAATAAAATATAAGGCCTATTTATTACTCTTTGATTGTCAACGGCCTACAACTGATGTCAACCTACGACAAGAAATTCTTTATAATTCTTTATAACCTAGTTGTGAAGCCTAATGACTTACAGGGACGTTCTGAACAATGGGAGAAAAGGTGAGACAGGTAGTCTTTCGCCATAAACTAGGAGCGTTTTAAAGAAGAATAGATAGATGTAATTTGGAACTTCTCGTGAAAAGTCGTAAATCTAATGGATAGATTATGTATGTCATTAACGGTCTGTACACTAAATGCAAAACGTTTTTAGAAAAAGGAGAAAGGAATATTATTTATACGAATATTCGCCAGTATTACGAAGAATAGTTTGAAAGAAATCGGGCTCCGAATATCTAGAATACATTGTATGTGAAAATTATATTTGAAATAATTTTCGCGATTAAAATCTAAATAGTTCAGACGTTTCGTACAGCACACTTGTTTGGACTTACTCAGGGTAGTGATCAAAATAAAATTTATGAAATAAATGTGTTTAACAATCAAATCAAATCTTTACTGCCTTTATCCAATCATATTCAGATGCTGACTTTAACAAGTAGGATTGTGGTGTGGGTTACTTGTATCCACATAAGTAGTAAGTAAAGAAGGTCGGACATGGAATGTATTTCAGTCGAAGATCGATAACGAAAGAACGGAAACGAAACGCAATTGGTATGAAAATACATGCTCAATAATTATCGAAGACTATGGACTGATATTTGCAGACGGAATGGTCAAGATTGAGACAATTGATTGATAGTTTGCAAATTAACTGTTTACTATAACCAGTGACCAGTGAAGTTCAACCAGGTCTGTTGAGAGATATAAACTGACTGAAGACATTGGTGAATGGTTGCTCAGTTTCGTGGATTGGTTGTGTTGAGTCGGTTTCCGGAGAACTTTAACAGAGCCTCCAGAGGCTCATAAAGAGCCCCAGCCAATCAGAATACGATGGAACATTCTAGAGTTCCAACGTGGCGTGATACTATTGGTCGGTATCATAATATGTCGTTAATGGATTGGCTAACATCTACAAATACCTATGATTTTCTGTAACAAGATTGAACCCTGTAGTAAAGTGCTTCCCATACACTTTGTGCCTTTTCTCTGGTCTTCAAGTCGTGGAGTAGTTCTAGCTCGAGGATACGGAACTAGCTTAGGGAAGCGAATATAGCGTTCACAATCGGCCAGACGTAACAGGTTGAAGTTAGACGTTAACACTGTTGGATGCCGGCTCAGTGGTCTAGTGGTCAAGCGCTTGCGCGCGAGACTGATAGGTCCTGCGTTAGAATCTCGCGAAGCAGGGTCGTGGATACGCACTACTGAGGAGTCCCGCAATAGGGCGAAACGGCCGTTCAGTGCTTCCAGGTTTTCATGGTGGTCTAGCTTCAAATGACTCATGATCTCAACTATATGTTTACTGTATGGTTGTCAGATTGTAGTGAGATAGTTTGCAATTTTGTGCTCAAATACATCCGATTGTCCCCACTCGTGTTCTCATTCACTACAGGGTAATATAAGTTAGTTATATGCGAATCATGTGAAAAGTTCACAATGTGAAGGTAAATTAATGGATTATGTGTGTGTATGTATGATTCGAAGATAATTTTAGTCTTCAACTTGCACTTTTCTTTTTACTTTGTATAAAAACAAATTAACAACTAATATCAACCATTAATAACTCAATCTTACACATACACACACATAATCCATTAATTTACTTTAACATTGTGAACTTTTCTCATGATTCGCATGTAACTGACTTATGTTATGAAGAACACACTACTTCTAAAAATGGAATATATGACGAAAAAATAGTTGAACTACGTATGCGGGTAACATTTTACAGAAAACAAGCAATATACTAACCTGTACAAAGAAGTTCGGTTGTCTACCACGTTGAAGCCAACGTTTAACACAAAGAACACATGCGTTGCATAAATCTCCTGAACGTGTAATCCCCTGTGGACCAAAACATGCACCGAAATGCTCAGCATATCGTTGACTAGAGGTAAAACGAGAGGATGATGACTTCGTTCCACATATACAACAGCCTAACTGACTACGAAAGTGTGCACGACCAGAACCTCCACCACTACTGCCACCGCCCCCACCACCTCCAGTCCCACTACCACTCATTTTATAAAAGTTAAGATGAAAGCCTGAAATAAAGAAGTAATGTTGGTGGTTGTGAGTGATACAAACGATATAGGTGTATTAATTATTACTAAGAAAAAATACTACTGGCTGTGTATGTGAGGATTTTATTTGTTAACACTGGAAATGATATTGAGCAGAAAAAAATAAGACAACAATAATGATTAGGTGAATAGAGAAGATATTTAACTACAATAATACCAATTAGAAAAATAACGGTCCAATTATGTATGCATACATAAAGCTGGAATTTTCGCTTACATAATAACATAATTTCCACATATTCGGACGGTGTCAACATAATGAAATAATTATTTATTAACTTGTCATTCACGTATACGTATAAACAATACGACGAAAAATCTAAACTCTAATAAGAAAAGATGCCAAAGAGAGCTAACTAATGACTGTAAAGCAATGTGAATTAAAATTACATAAAAGATTAACTACATCAACGATAGAAATTATTGGTGAGTGGTTTTCATCAACGACTTGATTACAATCGAGATACGACTGAAAACCAAAAGGCATACTGTTAAGTAATACGATGTTACGGTTTACTGAAGTCTCTTAGATTTCAATGAAGGAAATCCCCCAATTACCAAAATACGGCCGAGAGTGCGGAGAGTTCGCTCCCCATCTCGAAATGATCTTATATGGTCACGCATATATAACCACTAACAGGGAAGTCCTAACCACTGCCTTTTTGTGGCGGGGTGTTGTTTACCAAATTAAAAGGACAAAACGCGAATTTCCAGCGCTTGTATGGGGTTGGTGGGTATGGGGGGAGTTGGAAAACATTGATTACAAACCAATGGTCCACATGGACTCCAGGATTCTGAGGTAACAGATAGAGGATGAACATATTTTTGGCCATCGGTTACCATGATACCCCACCTCCCCACATTGCTCCTCTGCCTTCTGGACTAGACCTCTAGATCAAACGTTCGGGGAGTAGCCCTCTATGAGAACAACCTGCTTGGGCACTCATGCAATATCCTAGACCTCACACAAATCAAATGATAAGTAGAACCGGAAAAAATTATTTTCGCTTCATTCTCATTCTCACAGATTGCATACAGTTATTCGGTGAAAATTATCTTAATTTTAGATTGCATAACCTGTCTGTTCTTTTCTATTCACATTTTGTATAACTTATTGTTCTTCAACTCATACAGGGGCTGACCTATGGTGGAAATTCTATCCTACCTAAACGATATCAAGTAACTAAATAGTCGAAAGTTGAATGCTATCACTGAATACGAATCCTGAACCATCCTTTCTGAAACCACATGTGCCATTTCAAACTGGCCTGCTTCAACGTTTGCACAATAATGCAGATTGAGCAACAGATGTCATTGGTTATATCCTTACACGATGAAATTGTGCAATGCTTGCGTAAAGACCAAGAAGCCTGATGGTAATGTGGTATGGTTTTGCCAACCTAGGTTTTCGTTCACTACAGTAGGAGCGTGCCAACGAGTTGGAAGCAGCAGTCACATTTGGTACCTGACGGGAGCTCTCTAAACTCTACTACTGTGCGAAAATATTCAAGCCATACAATACGCACTTAATTAGGTGGCAATCGGTGTCAGTACGTATGGCATGTGCTGTGCGCCTTCAAAGTGCAAGTACTTTTACAAAATTGATAGCAGCATGTGCCTGAACGCAGTCCTGCTGATAAACAGTTAGAAGTGAGATCGTTCTACATATAGTGAACGCCAGGGAGGTTTATGCAAATTTGGGCCATCATGATGTGAATTTTGCTGCAAAAGGTTAGGTTTACAACGTGGCGGCCAGGGCAGCTTTGCTCTATGCATAAGCAACTTTGTCTCTTTGAGTTGAGGATGTTAAGCGAATCTATGTTGGATCATCCTTCTCTCCGAAGGATTGCTGAAATTCAATGACAACACCATGTTATTAATACAGAGGTTCTGTCAACGGATGTTCGGACACAGTGACGACTTTTCAATTGGCTTTACCATATTGAAACACCAACTACGATGGATTAGACATTTGCTACGAATGTCCACACTGTGTTCCATTTGGGGACGTTCAGACTGATTGGAGAAAATGGAGAAGTGGTTGTTTTATATGGTATGGCTCCGAGGTATGAAAGAGATCAGTGCAAGACTGACAAATCTTGGACCATCACGACCTCCTGGTTAGGGTCTGCGAGATAATGCAACACAGTGGGTCAAGACGTTAGCAAGCATGAGGTTTTGGTGGTTCTGCTGTAGCTTGAGTTTACTTTTCGCATTTAAATGTGAACAACTTCAACGGAAAGAATCCTATTGTTATTGTCATTGCTATGGTTCATGAAGTTTTTTAATATTCTCAGTTTTCTTTGTTCAAAATTCTTTTTTTCATGGTGTGGCGCATATTTATTTTGGTGCTCCTTTGCACCGATGTTTGTTTTTAAATGAATAAATAAATAAACATATAATACGTACTGATGACAAATACCAAACTACAACGAAACAGTTATCGAATTCGACTCCAAGAAAGCATACTGATTCCCACAGACCCTTCCATCAAACAGGAATTTAATTTCTGAAGAAAATACTTTTCTCATACAGGCAGTGATTGACAAGTCTGAGTACGAAACTTTCAGGCTTTTTCAGTCAGTATGATAATTGTAGACTTTTTCTAGTTTTCTAGTCAGTGCCGGATTGTAATCCAAATTAGATTTGAATTACACCACACAGAAATTTAGTACGATGATTATGAGAGCTGATTTTTCCGAATGTAAATACTATAATCAAAACCTAATGAATGTGATTAAAAGAGATCTCATACGACACTCATAAATACGCCAATTTAAAGTAATTAGTGTTGACGGAGGGTAACAACATGCAGAGAGATGTTTTGTTAAAATAATGAACTTGGTAATACCTTTATGCTACAAAGGTAGGTGCATATTTAGATTCTGCTCATAAGGGTGACTTCGTTGATTTCATCATAATTGACAGCATAAACAAAAAAGAGAAGTGGATCAAATAGTTATTACGAGTGGAATTCATCTACAATTCAGGACACGTAGAACACTAAAAAATCATTTGTTTTCAGTCAGTCAGTCACAACGTAGAACTTCGTACGTACGTACATCAGTTCGAGTTGCCATACCACATTAGCACAGAGATGCAGTTGTCGATTCAAATCCCATATTGGTAGAAGTAGTAAGAGTATAAACAGTAAACCGAAAGATTAAGGTTTCAAGATGTTATTGAAGGAGTATAATCCAATAAAATAAATTTGGGAAGAGAAAAAATAGAGATATGAAGAATTCAGAAGATTAGAATTTGGCAGAACAAAAAGAGTGGATGCACCTTCGCCATTGCAAGTTCCTCAGAAAATATGTCTTAGATATGTTGAGACGATCACAAGCAACCGAATCAAATGGTCACTTGATGACATTTTAAAATGACCTGAAGGTCAAATACATACCATATCGATTGATATTCTATGGGGTAGATGTGTACATACATACATACATACATACTATCTCGCGCAAGTAGCCTGGAGGGGAGGTTATCGTGTATTAAGTAGTCGCTGTAGATGATCTGTCTCACAACCTTGAGCTTCTATTTATCTCATTCACCAGATAAAGACTCGCGTATTTGGCTACTATGTGCACTATAAGTATGAGGGTTAGTGATATCATTAAGTTGAGTAGACCGAAGTAGGTCGAGGTAGATTCGAGCCCACTATATGGGGACAAAATACCGAATGTCCTAACCATTGAGCTACTGCCCTATCGTCCTAAATTGAATGATTTGTTTAGTCAGTGAGATTCTATCTCTGGAACAATCAAGCTGTTTTTGATGTTGCTCTGAAAAATTGCTAGTTCATCATTTTTTAACAGATAATTCGAATTGCATCTAAAAAGGCATAGATTAACAACACCATGAAGTGCCATAACATGATGTAAAGGTGATTCCTTGACATTTAGGTAAATGTCGAACACACGTATGGAATTTATGAGAGAAGGAAGATAGATATTTCGTAAGTCGTTTTAACAGTATAAATGCAGTCGCTTTTAATCTTCACCTAAGTACATTTTAGGACAGTCCATTTTTTCTGATATCTATCTGTCCCTCAAATGACCCTAATTCATTTTATGGAGTGTTCAACATCTTTAAAATCTTTTTCCGATATACAAATTTCCACCAATATATCATGAACTGATAAGTATTGGTATCAACATTTATTTCAAAATAATCGTGTGACCATATAGATTGATAATCCCGACCTCCCATAATATACACATCGTACTTATATCTTAATCAAGTGTAACAACTAATAAAAGATGTGTAGTAACGTTACTCAATGGTTGATAACACTAGATGAATTATTTGGGAACTTATTTTTAACTTGATATTAGGAACAGATGAAACTCAATCCAAAATAAATATTTTTGTATAGTTGAGATCATGAGTCAATTGAAGCTAGACCACCATGGAAAACCTGGAAGCACTGGACAGCCATTTCGTTTCATTGTGAGACTCCTCAGCACTGCGCATCCACGATCCTGCTTCGCGAGAGTCGAACCCAGGACTTACCAGTCTCGCTCCAGAGCACTTAACCGATAGACCACTGAGCCGCATCCAACGGTGTTGATGTCTAACGTCAACCAATCCACGAAATAAAATACAAATATATAAATAAAGTATAAATATTCAAATTTTTTTCTAACTTTGATGAGGATATTTATTTCTTGTTTCCTTATAATTTCATCATTCGTAACGTGGTGTAGCAACTTGAGATGACGCACTTTCGTTTTATATGACTGACATTTTTTTCTAAATCTAAATTTATTAAGTATAAAATGGTAGTGGATTTATAAATGAATACTGACGAATACGGTCACATTAAAACAAAGCAGTTGTCCAACACTCCTTGATTTATAATTATTCATCAGTTAATATTACAAAGTCTTGATGTTTACCTCGGAAGTGATCACAGTATATTATGTTTGCCAA